CTTGCAGACGTTATTAGGTGAGGCCTGGTGCCTTTAATAAAGTTTTGTTATAAAATGTATAGCTCACCGAAACATGCAGAAGATACTAGATGAGCCCTGGTGCCTTTAATAAAGTTTTATTCTAAAGTATGGCCCACCGAAACATGCAGACGTTATTAGGTGAGGCCTAGTGTTTTTAATAAAGTTTTATTTTAAAGTATGATCCACCGAAACATGCAGAAGTTGTTGAGTAAGGCCTGGTGCCTTTAATAAAGTTTTGAAACTATTGTGTAAATTTTAACTTTAATATGAAATGTTTAAATCTTGTACCAAACATTGTTTTGAGATTTGAATACCTTTTCTTAGGAAATTGAAGAACATGTTTAAAAACAAACGTGGAAATTACTGTAAATTCTGTGCATTACTATTGGATCGGAATAATTGGAATCGCTCTAGCTTCTATTAAATACCCTTTTTCTTCTTCTTCTGGAAACACGTCATGTTGTAAAGACTGAACAAGAAGTTGAAGGCTCGTGCGAAGCGAACTCTATAATTAGTGACGATTTGGAGAAGGAATATAATATAGGCATCGTTTAAGATGACTTGTTGATATATATATACACTCTGAGTGTATAAATCAGGAACACTTGGTCTGGCCTTGGTGTGAACCCTGTGGATGTCTTTTAATAAATTTACGCCTATTCGTCTTTTCAAAGGGGGGTCCTTTGGATTCAATGGCTGCCTAATTGAGGACATTTTGTGAAGAGCTAGATGCTGGTATACATGTAATATCCACTTCCAAGTTAATGGTGTGAAATGAGCACCAACAGAGTCGTGTAAGTATAATACACGTGGTTTGTATATAGGAGTAATTTTCTCGACAAAATTACTGGTTACTTGTTTCGAAAAGGTAGGAAACAGATAGAATCTCTGGAAAGTCAAACCTTTCTGTTGCATTATCTGATGGGAGTCTTTCAGTTTCTAAACAGAAATACCGATAATCTTCAGAAAGTCATTTTTCTTTCTTTCTTTTCGGTAAGCTTACGTCACTAACGGTTTCTGCAAATTGAGCTTAATGATTCCAGAAATGGTCATTGTACGTTTGCGCATTTATTTTGTGGTTTCCCACAGTTTATCCTTCCTCCCCCCCCTCCTACCTATGCGCCATAAAACCAACAGCATTCTTCCCTGCCTTAAAATTCCCGAGTATTCCAGACTTTGCGACAGAATCGATCACACATGCCAGCCGCCGTAGTCTCCAGGCCTAAGTAGTGTAAGTAGGCTTCACGATATAACGTTACCTAGGTTATTTAATTAACAAATTTGTTAGATTATTCTGAAATTGTTTTAGTAACACATATGATTAATACAGGTATCCAGAGACGACATTCTACTGATCTCGTTAATCTCACTAACTGGGTAAACTCGCACGAGATTTTCACAAAGAGGATTAGGTTTATTCAATAATTCCAACTAAGCATACGGACCTCTTTTATTTTAGAAAGTTTCAATGTTGTTTATTGTGTTCTGATGGGGAATCACTCATGGGTCTGTTTATAGAAAACATGATGGGGGAATCACTCTTGGGTCTGTTTGTAGACAACATGTCAGCTATTAGGATCTAGAAAATGTATCAATTGTACACCTGAAGTATTTATTAGGAAAACCAGCTAAATAAAGGACCTGAATTATCTGGGTTGGTCCCTAAAGCTATATGTATTCCTTCATAAACCACAGGTATATTCAGGTATCACTTTAAAAAACTGCCTGGAGAGCTTACTGTTGGATGAAAACTTTTGAATTAGACACTTGGATAATGTTGTTGCATGAAGGTCTTTGAGGAATACATTTTGGAAGATGATTCACCACATATTCTACAAATAGACCCAAGAATGGTTCCCCATCATGTTGTCTACAAACAGACCCAAGTGATTCCCCATCACGTTGTCTACAAACACACAAGAATGATTCCCCATTATGTTGTCTACAAACAGACCCATGAGTGATTCCCCATCATGTTGTCTAGAAACAGACCCATAGAGTGATTCCCCATTATGTTGTCTACAAACACACAAGAATGATTCCCCATTATGTTGTCTACAAACAGACCCATGAGTGATTCCCCATCATGTTGTCTACAAATAGACCCAAGAATGATTCCCTATCATGTTTTATATAAACAGACCCAAGAATGATTCCCCATTGGCGTGAGTTGTCCAAGTTTAGAGCTAATAGCTGCTCTAAACTTGGACAACTCACGCCTCCGTAACTGTGGAAGTATTTATACTGAGAAACTGCTAACTGTAGATTCTAGACTCAAAATTTAAACCGTTGCCCTTACTTTGTTAAAATCTAATTGTAAGGCCAGACACATGGTAACAAACTAAATTAGTCAAGCCTACTGCAAAATGGTGCCAATTATAATTGTAAGACTAGACACGTGGTAAAAGATAGGTTAGTTAAGCCTACTGCAACATAATACCAAATGTAGTTGTTAGACTAGACACGTGGTAGTAAGATAGGTTAGTTAAGCCTACTGCAACATGATGCCAAATGTAGTTGTAAGACTAGACACGTGGTATAAGATAGGTTAGTTAAGCCTACTGCAACATGATTGGTGTAATTTATTAATTTCTTGAATGAATACTCTGCCTAAACAACCTATCAAAGATTATTAATTTCTTATAATTTTCCTCGTTCTCATTCGTCTTTTCACAAAAAGAGACATTTATATATAAACACACACACATCCCTTCTATTTATTTATCGAGACAAACAGAAATGTTGTTTACAATCTGGCTAAGAAAGTTTTTTTCTTTCCACACATCAAAGGCCAACAGTGCTTTTGCTTCTACTACTCCAAATTGTAAGAAACATGATGACGTGAATAAATTTTTTCGACATCTCTAAATTCCAGTTTCCAACTCGACAACAAAGAACGCCCAAGAACTTCCACGTCTTTGCTCTACACGATATTGTGGTCGAATTTGAAACTCAACCGTAAAGTATCAATAAAGAAGAGTAACTAACGTGAAATAAGAACTTTTCACGTCTAGCCACACAAAAAATTCCTGTTGAGATTCAGATTTGATGTTAAAAAAAAAAATCTTTTGGTACAAAGGTGACAAATGAAGTCAGATGTTAATCATCGAATCATGTATGGCCTAATCACAATTTGATTGTAAAGAACGCTCGAATGTGGTCCCAGAACAATGATATTTTATGCTATGATACATAAACATTAAACATTTAAAATAATGTACACATGGCTTCAGGTTGTAGCTGGAACTGATAATCATTAAACATTTAAAATAATGTACACATGGCTTCAGGTTGTAGCTGGAACTGACAATCATAAAACATTTAAAATAATGTACACATGGCTTCAGGTGGTAGCTGGAACTGGCAATCATTAAACATTTAAAATAATGTACACCTGGCTTCAGGTGGTAGCTGGAACTGGCAATCATAAAACATTTAAAATAATGTACACCTGGCTTCAGGTGGTAGCTGGAACTGATAATCATTAAACATTTAAAATAATGTACACATGGCTTCAGGTGGTAGCTGGAACTGACAATGTGTGACCCCCCCCCCTTTGTCACACATGAAGAGAAACCCCCTCTATAAAAACAAGACGAAACCCCCTTTGTCAGACATGAAGACAAAAACCCTCTCTGTCAGATATGACGAAAAAACACCTTTGTCAGATATGTAGGCAAACCCCTCCGTAGACATTAAGACAAAATCTCCTTTGTCAGTGACGAAGGCAAACACCCCTTTGTCAGACATAAAAACAAAACCCTTCTGTCAGATATTAGGAAAAAATCTCGTGTTGTACATTATAAATTGTTTAATAACCTTACCACAGCAGGAAGTGTTAGTTTAAGTACTCTTGAACACAGGCCTGGGTCATACATCAGGTGGTGCCTGTCGGTGTACAGGATGTTCTGCATGACGCACTGGGTGTAATCATGACTCCAGCGGTAACCGCCATTGAAGAGACGTTTCATCTCCTGTTCTAGTAGACGAAGAGTTTCTGGTGTCAAATTGTACCGATAGATGTCGCCACCTTCGTCATACCCCACTTGGCAACGTCCAAAAGCATTATCTGCAAAATAAACATCTATAGTAATATTCATCCTTACTGGCAGTCGTAAAAAATTTAATAGTTGAAGTCAAAAACTAACTAAAACAAGGTAATTTCATTTGTCAGAAATTACTGTGTTATTTTCAATATTTCCCACCCATACTTCCCCAAATAGTCCTGCTTCTTGGACATCTCATTCTGTTCAAATATAAGTATGCTAAACGTCTTTTGGTTTGGAAACAAGTAACTAGAAAATAAATCAACTCTACATACAGATCAACTGTAATAGAGATTAATTCTATACATGTTATACAGTTATAAGTAACTATTAAATAGATCAATTATACACAAGAACGTAGTATTGGTATATATTACTTATGGCAAAGCTGTTGAGACAATCTGTTATCGTTTCTAATTTCAACTACTGACCAGGGGCAAGACAGCCCAGTCAGCAACACCTTACCACCCACTCTAAGTGATTAACTGTTACTCTTATAATGTACACACTTGCGAGGAATGTTTTGCGGATCTGAACTCGTCTCTCCAGACGGTATAAATACCTCCACAGTTACGTGATCCTAGTTAGTCTACAGCAGCAGCTTCTCGGTATAAATACTTCAACAGTTACTTGATCCTAGTTAGTCTATAGTAGCAGCTTCTCGGTATAAATACCTCCACAGTTACGTGAGACTAACTAGGATACAGGAGCAGCTTCTCGGTATAAATACCTC